CTATTACCATAATTATCAATTATTTATTGGTATCATAAACGAAAGTAAACGAAATATTTTATTCCAAATGAAACCATCACAGGTTATTTTATCATTATTTCTTCCTAATTTATCATCTTATTAGCAATAATCTTTTTTTTTTTTTTAAATTTGTTTAATAAATATTTTTTTCTGCATAAAATAATCCATACTGTAGATAAAATTTTATAAAATAGAGGTGAATATTGCATTATTTTGTAATGCATACCATAAAAATGCTCTGTTAAATTACATTTATACCGTAATTTATGATATTTTTCATCAAGTGAAATTTCCATTTAAAATATTCCAGCAACTTCTATCGAAATATTCATTGAAAATAGCTTTATTATTAACTTTATTAACTTTATTTAACTTTATTTAAGAATTCTTTTAAAAAAATATCAATGCAAGAATATATTGTATTAATCTTACCTGACAAAAATATAAACTCATAAAGATTCTTATGAAGTTTAACTTTTTAAACCTAAAATACAAATTAATATTTGTAAATTATATAGCTAATTATATCCAATTATGAAGTTAGGTCAAATTAAGTTTAATTAAAATATCGCAAGTATGAAGGTAAGTTTAATTAAGATATATGCAAGTTAATTATATTTAGTCATGAAGTTAGGTTAAAATATATTAAAATAATGAAAGAATTATTGGACCATTTGGTGCGGTAGCAAAATACAATTTAATAAAAAGTTACTTCATAGCTACAGTATGCTTCTGCTAAAATGCATACATAAAATGTATTGAGTTAGTGAAATAATTAAGATATCACAAATGAATCATGGTGAATTACGATCAAAACGACATCAAATATCCACTAAATCATCATCAGAAAGCAGCGATTCAAAAGATTACGAAGTAGATGAGGAATCAGATGACGAATTAGCCGCTCCAGCTTCAGACAAAACTAGCGAATCAGCAAGTTCAGAAGATGATCATGATGATTCAGAGGATGAAATACCGGCTGTAATTTTCAATCATCCTTTGGTAAACGATTTATTGGATCGATTTATGCGTGCGCAATTACAAACTGATACCAATGTTAACAATATCAATCATGGCAAAAATGCCGGAAAAAAGTTTGAATTTCTTATTAATCAATTAATTAAAATCTGAAATCAAAAATTAAATAATTTTAGATGAACAAACTATTGAAAAGTTAAAGTTCCAAATTAGTTTAAAATATATTCGTAATTCAAAACATTTTACCTTTTTTTTTTTTGCAGAAAAGAAATTTAAGCATCTTTTTACAATAATCTATTAAAGGTAAATTAGTAAATGTTAGCATTTTAAAATTCTCGAATGTTTAAACATTTTAGCGAAGAGAAATGATTTGCATAAATTGATAATTGCTGATTATTTTTTTTTTTAAAAAAAGTATCTTTATCAATTAACATAGCATCCATTCATTATCACTTCCAATTCTTTCACATAATACTCTAATTTCAATCCCTAAATGATTGTCTTAATTAATTAAGCAAATAATTATAGAGGAATATTAGAACCAGCACCAATTTATGATGTAGATTTGAAATTTGATGAACTTCGACAATTATGTGATCTTGCAATGAATTCATTCGCAAAACAAAAATCATTACTACGCATTGGAATGTATTGTATTAATATTTTTTTTTTCACATTTCCTTTTACTTTTAAAATTAAAAGAAAAAGTAATTTTGTTTTATTTAAATTGTTATTGCAATTACTATTTATTGTTCCAGCAATTTTTATCAATACTTTTATTGCTGTAATACTATTTTATTTACTCTTATTGTTCGTATAATTTATGTTATTATTGTATATGAAATAATAATAAAATAATAATAATAATAATAATAATAATAATAATAATAATAATAATAATAATAATAATAATAATAATAATAAT